CTTTTTTTGAGAAAAAATTTTTATTTAAAAATGCGTTTTTAACGTTACAAAATTTTAGATTAAAGGCAAAGATAAAAATTTTCACAGTAAAATAGAGACTTCTACAGTGCCAAAAATTATTGAAATTTTAACGGCACTAAAAATACCACTTTCAGTTGGCAGTGGAAATATTTGAAAATGTCAAAACAATTCAACTTTTGACACGAGAAGAAGTTTTCTATAAAAATTATGAAACTGCTTCAAAACATCACAAAAGGTCTGAAATTTCTAAAGCATGGATCGAAGCAGTGAATTTCTGCGTGTCTCAGACATTCCAATATATCATGCAAATTCTTACTTACTCTGTAGGTATACACATTATGTATAAGGACATGAAAAGTCCGAATGATGTCTTCATGTAAGTTTTAATGTTGTTCTCTTTCTGCTTTCAAATCTAACTATAAAATTGTAACATTGTGTGATTTTATTCTACCATATGCATTTTTTTAATAAAACTTAAATCAATTTTGAAATCTGTAATTTTGATTCTTGGCTTAATATCTTGGAACCACATAGTCAAGGGCATTTAATGAAGGAAAAACTTTCCTCAAACTAGAACTGATCTATAAGAAGCAAATTGAAGCATCCCTCATTGTAAAGTTTAGTTTAAAAATTTGATATATTACTGACTTAAGCCATCGTAATCATGCGATAGTGTTTTTTTGTGTTCATTGACTACAATATTAATTCTTAATACAGCATCTGAATATGGCTTTACAGTGCTATTATTGCAATGCTTCTTGGTGCCGTTGGAGTAATGAACGCAGCATCATACTTCCCAGAATTCGTCAAGGCAAGAACAGCATCTGGCCTGCTTTTCGCAACGATATACCGTCAACCAAAAACCGGGGACTACAAACAAGGAGAAAAAGCGGTTTGTCTTCTCACCTAAATCATCTCTTTCCTGACTAACTGTTATATTGTTTAATGTTCAATACTGTCACACTACTTTGCTGTATATTATCACTTTTATACCTTTGCTGTTTTAGACATTAAGAGGTAACGTGATGTTTGAAAATGTCAAATTTTGCTATCCTCTTAAGCCAAAGGATCCAGTCATGAGGGGCTTGCAGTTCAGTGCAACTCGCGGACAAACAGTGGCTCTTGTAGGGCCATCCGGCTGCGGCAAAAGCACAGCAATTTCTCTTCTGGAAAGGTTCTATGACCCAGCTGGTGGCTTTGTGGTTAGTATACTAGAATTTTAACTTTTTTCTTTCTTCTCTGTTTTAATAAATATCAGTTTCCTTCTTTTTACTCTCGCACTTGAGCAAGTGTTATCGTTTTTTTCTATACTTTGAAAGTTTTTGTTCGTTCACTGCCAAATAAAGCAATTGTAGTTACTGGAGCTGGCAAGAAAAGGGAAAAATTAGTGATTTCAAAAAAAATTTGGTTTTGAGCGTTAGTAAAACTGTTGGATGATAAACTTTCGATGAGTTTTGTTCAGGCTTTTCTTTTATCTGCTAAATTTCTTTGTAGTCAATTAAATCATTATAGCGTCTCGATGGTAAAGACTTGTCAAAGCTATGCTTGCATCACGTAAGGACTCAAATGGCACTGGTCGGGCAAGAGCCGAGGCTGTTTGGTGGTTCCATACGTCAAAACATTTGTTTAGGTTTGGAAGAGAAACCTACAGATGACAAGATCAAAACAGCGCTTAAGCTTGCAAACGCAAGTTCGTTTGTCGAAGCTCTTCCTGAGGTTTGATTTTTCTTCTTCAACAAAGACTTTTTGTTTTGTATTTTACCACTAATTTTGTCTCAAAATATTACGCAACTGGGTGATATGCAGACTGTCCTCATAGAATAGGACTATCTCGGTTTCTAAAGTTGGTTTTTTTCTTTAAATTATTTCTTGTCTGGGTGTTCCAGCTTCATAGTGAACTACAATTTACGATATCAATCGGAAGGCGATCAGCAATCAAACCCAAAACACTGCTAGACTTCTTCACGGCCATTCGACGTTTCATAGTTAATGCTTGCTAGTTGTACACTATTTAGGGACTTGACACAGATGTTGGTGAAAAAGGTTCAAAGCTTTCTGGCGGACAGAAACAGCGTATAGCAATTGCGCGAGCTTTAGTAAGAGATCCAAAGATTCTATTACTGGATGAAGCAACTTCCGCTCTTGATTCTGAGGCTGAGAAGGTAAGTTTCGAGAATTTAGTAACCATCTAACACTTGCTTACTTCTTACTTAATTCTATTTATTTTTTCCTAAAAATTCTTTTTTATTTTTTTGTCTCTACATTTGTAATAATATTGATTATTTCGTGGTGTACTCTTTAGGCAGTCCAAGAAGCTCTTGACCGAGCCAGTGAAGGTCGTACCTGTATTACTATTGCACATCGATTATCCTCAATCCAAAACTCTGATGTTATAATATACATTGATCATGGTAAAGTACGTGAGTTTGGAACACATGCACAACTGATGGCTAAGAAAGGCAAGTACTATGATCTAATTAGAAAGCAGGATCTTGCCGGTTAAACGATATTTACCCAACAATTTGAAAGATCCAGGTCTTTTATTACCGGTTAGTTTTTGCCTTTTCATTGCATTTCCTTTTGAGTTCTTATTTGCCCCAGCAACTGTCCTAATTTTTTATATTCTACTATCTTGTAATTTTTCTGGTCTTTCACAGCTGATTACAAATGCAAACTATTTTTTTACCTCTTCTATTATTGTTACTTCGTCAGATTTCAATAAAATTTTATCAGGATTTGTTTTTTTTACCCTTCTGGTTTTTTCGGCAGTTCTTTTTTCAATACTAAGGAAATTTCAGTTTCTGGTTACCGAGCAGGTTACACGTAAAAACTTTCGAAACTACAAAACGCATACTTCCCTCGACTAGTCATGAAATGGAAAACAAGTGATGGCAGTAAACAGACGTCTTTTTCATAGATACATCAACGCAAAGAAGGCAATATGAAATATTTACTGAATACAGTTGGTCCAAAAAGCAACATTTTTGAACCGTACCTGCACCAGAAACAGAATAAATGCAGCTTATCTTCTTAATTTCAGCATAATATTTACATTTGCTAATTATACTTTTAATATCTATTCGCCAAAGAATTTGAACCGTCAAGGAAAACCAATCCATAATAATTAGAGACGAAGTTAATGACTGAAATATTTTACTTGTAACTGCAATTATTCTTAGCCAGTGATATTAGCATAATTCAAAATCATGTTAATTTAGTTCAAAGTTTTCTGGCAAACTGAGGGTTGAGACTTCTATTTAAATTAGTCCAGCAAATAAACCGTCAAGATCAGTAAAGACTGATATTGTAGAGTATTGATCTATACTGCAAGACGTGACATCTATCCTCTATGATTGATACGTGTTTGTATTTGTAAAGATTGTTAAGCACAACTTCTGTTGTATTTATTCACACGTGTAATCAAAAAACGTTATAATAAACTGTCTAACTGATCTCAATTTGTTTGAAACCTTGCATTGAAGGTAGTCAACAAATTTTTCGTTGCCATTCTCAAACTACATTATTCAATCAGATCACTTTAGGATAAACGTGACATTAGATATAAGTGATTTTAAAATATTTTTGTTGTGTTTCCTTTTTTTTCTATGTTCAAGCTATCATATAGGCTAAAGCATTGAACATTGTGGACTGTGCCTAAAAAACTACTCAAAGTGTAATACTGTAGTTAAGTTAGAAATTAGAGCAAACAACATTTGTAGCTTGCTTTGAACTTTATCCTACTTTCAGTCAACGATGATTGAAACTTCAAAATTTTAGGTATGGAAGCTGTTGCAAGAAAACAAAGTAAAATTCAATAACCGATGGCGGTTGCTTTTCTAAAACAAAGAACTTCGCAAAAATAGCTTTTGAAAAAGCAGACAGCTTTCATATAATAATTAAGAAAAAATAGTAGAGGATGAACATCTATAGTCGCAAATCACCAGCCAGAAGGCTTCATAAGTAAAGCAGTAAAAGAACAAGTATTCCTTCCTTCCTTTTTCCTTTCCTTTTCTTTCATCTTTGTAGGAAGATTCAATTGTTTTGCGAAATTTGTTAGAGTTACACCACTCAGTTTCGTCGACACCGCCTATATTTCTCTGCTCGTTAGAACAACATTATTAATTTGTTATTGCTGGAAATATATACATTTTCCAGAATCTAGTTTCATGGGAAGTTATGATCATTCGTCTGTAAGTGTTATTTATTATTTGTATTATTTGTCAAACCGCAAAACCAATAAATGTTTTTCTTTTATGTATTGAGATACAAAAGGGAAAACACTCAAGCAAAGCAGCCAAAGAGAGTTTTATAAAGCAGTGCATAATTTTTTCTCAACAAAAGCTGGGTGAACAACCATTAATTTAAAGCGATTTTCAATTTTTTTTTACCATTTAAGAAGACTTAATGTTTTGCCAGCTTATTAAGGGCTTTTTAGTATAAACAGCTACAAAAGGATACCGTAAACCAAACAGTGTCATAAAGTTGCAGTCTTTGGGTAATAATTCTGTAAATCAAATGTGGAGAAGAGAACGCAACAAGCAGCATATCATTTTAGTATTTGGTAAAGAAATAAGACTTTTAACAGTAACAAAAAAAGAACTGCAAAAAATACCGGTGCGTTAAGGTTCTATACAAATTTTTTTTTTTTT